ACGGCCCTGGCCCTGGGCGGTCTTCGTGCAGGCGTTCGGGGTCGCCGTGCTGCTGGAGCTGTGCGAGGCCCCTCCGCTGCACGCCGGGGCCCGGCCCGGAGGCGGGGTGGAGGAGGAGGTCCGGCAGCCTCGGTGGCTCGTTCTGGTGAAAGTTGTGTATGAGTGTGTACGTACACATAGGCGTGTGTCTGTATGTGTGTGCATGTTATATACATGTGTATGTATAAATATGTATTTTTATAGGTGTGTTTGTATATATACGTGTAAAATTTAAATATGTATATGTATTTCTGCTGGCCGTTGGCATTCATGCCCACAGCCCAAGATTCTATTGGGAAATGCTCTGCTGAAAATCCCACGGAAACCAGAATTCTAACCATGAGAAAGGACAACGGGCGAAAGACGCCTTCATGGGTGTAAGGTCTCCTTCTGGCCTCCTGCAAAATCTCTGTCTGGCAGGATTGTTGATTTTTTTTTTGTCTTTTTATTTTTTTTTTTAAAAGTGCTTCTTGTCTCTCATTATGCCAGCCGCTGTGTGGGTGGCCGGGCTGGCCCTGTGCTGGGGCGGACAGTGGAGCCAGCCCAGCCTGCAGCCCCGGTGTGTACCCCTGTGCCCGGCCTGCAGCAGGGGCACCCGGGGCTCTGCGCCCCCGTGGCTGGCGGCCCCCGCTGCCCCGGGGGCTTGGGGAGGACGGGGAAACCCGCCCTGACACGGGTGTCCTTGGGTGTCCCCGGTGTGTCACCTCCAGCACCGGTTGGCTCAGGTGCCCCTGGCAGTATTGGGACCAGCATGAGTAGCTGCTGCTGTGTGTGAAGTCTGACCTGTGAGGTTTTACTGGTGGATATAGGTCTGCAGGGCTGTGGCACCTTTTTGCTGTGATGAGAAGTTGACTGCTAGTGTATTTGGGCTTAATGCTGGCAAATCCTTCTGACGCTTTTGGGGAGGGTCTGATTTTGGCTCTGCTAGCAAAATAATTGTTTGGGGCAGCATGTTGTGCTTTTCTTGTGGGGCAAAAGAAGGCAGGGCTAATTCTGCTATGCTGGCGTGCCTTAAAATGGAGAAAGCGTGCTACATATCTCTACAACTTCCCATATTATCTCGTGTTTTGTTACTTTTGCGTTCTGGGGCTGAAAGTGAACAGCATTTGCATTTGAGATGCTGTGTTGCAGGTTCCCTGTCATTTCAGCAGCATGCAAGTTCTAGCTTTATTTATTGGCTAGAACCTGTAAATCTCCCCTCCTAATTTTGGCCCTACTGCTTAAGATTTCTTAAAAGTTTTTTCCTCCTCTTTGTGATTATTACAGCTGAAACTTAGGAGAACATCAGGCTTTTGGTGTCAGCCCAAAGCTTTATCTTGATCTAAACAAAGCAAAGAAAAACTAATTTTCTTCATCTAATTGCTGGCAAAGAGAACAATATGTATAAGCAGGAATTTTAACTATCAAGTGGATTATTAAATATTCTGACAGACTGTAGCAGCTGTTCTGTGCTGTGTATTGTACTGGTATTATTTGTGATGGATGAAATGCAAAGCAAATGATTTAGGTTTGTTTGCAGTATGAAATTAAAAGGCAGACTGAGGCTAGATCCTAATGTTAGTGCAAATTGGCCCAGTTTCATCAAAATTCATAAAACTGATTTATTGTAGTTTAGGAAAGAGGTTCCTTCATGAAGGACATCGAAAAGAGAGAAATGGTGACTCCTGCTCTCCTGCAGGCTTCACAAGACTTCTATGAAGTAAGAGTCGTATTCCCACCTCAGCTGCTCTCTTACAAGAAGCACTTACTACTGACCTAGTTTTTGTCCCCTTTCATTTTTTGCCATACGTTGACAGTTTGGTCTTTTGGCTCTTAAACATCTTATGATTTTTGAATGGGACCTAATGTGCTTTCCCAGGGCAGAGGCTTTGTTCTTTTGCTCTGCTCATCCCAAAGGGTGCTATTGTGCTGGGTACATGTGTGTAAGAGTGACTAGGCTGGTCCTTCCCCTGGATGCTTAAACCAGAGCTCTCTCTAACAGCCAGCACAGCCTTGGTGCCAGATCAAAGTGCAGCTTTGCATTAGACTCCCTCCTGGGTCTGTGGTGGGGCACAGGGGGAAGGCCAGTGTTCCTGCCTCCATAAACTGTATGTCAAAGACCCCTGCCTGGCTAAGAGCCACACTGCCTTGGGTGTTGCAGACCTGAGGTGAGGGTGGGCTGCTTGTCTGGAAGTGAGCAGAGGGTTTGTCACTGTAAGGCTCAACTCTACTGGAAGGTGGCTGGCCCAGCACTCCCTTTTCCTCATGTGGGCACTGTCACTGCTCACATAGCCAGCCTGGGAGCTGGTCCTGCTGGAGCCTTGCTTTGTGATAGCTAAAGAAAACAAGTGCCTGTTGTCTTTTCAAATGAGCTAGACAGCTGATGAGCACCTGGTGTTGGCACCAGAGAGACTGAAGGTAGTGGGACAACCCCTTTGCCAGGAACATATATTTTAGTCAGTTTAAGGCAGCTGTGAGTGCAGTGTTTGAGGATCTGTTGAGGGCTGCTTGCCACAAGAGCTCCTGCAAAATCCTGTATATGTTGGGGTCTGTTTCTGTCAGCCCTTGCTGAAACCAAAGCCTTGTAAACAGGGAACAGTAAAGCTGTGTTCAGGTCTGAGTCTGCTTGCTGACCAGAAGTATTGTTGCATCTTTGCTTTAGCCCATATCCTTGTTGAGGGGGAACAGCAGAAAATGTCCAGTTTAAAAATGTTTGTATTACATGATATTCTTTTTCCATGTAATCGTGGAGGTTAGTAATTAGCACTGTGGCTTTGTTCTTGGTTTAACCCCTCCAGTGGGCATAAGTAGGGTGTTGAATGTAGGCTAATTGGCTGTCACCTCTAAATCCTCTGCAGATTTGCCCTGTTCAGATAGCAAAAATTGTGTGGCAGTTTCTTAAATAGTGGAAGAAAACGTTCTTTAATATTTTCATTGGGTTGTTAAAACCTAAATATTTGTCCCAAATTATCAGAGAGTAAATCTCTGTTCCTTCCCTGGTCTCTGACATGGGCAGAAGGCTTTAAGAGTTATTTAAATTCCATGGGTCACAGATCCTGTGGCATGCATAACTCAGCCTGTTCACAGATCCAGAAGTATGTAATGATTGAATGACTTTATATGCCTGACTTCTTTAAAGGACTATATCCTATAACTGAACCAGAATCTAGGTTCTCAGCTGTAAATTGTGAGTCCTCACATGATCAGTTGGAAGAGTGTTTTAAGCACCTAGAGCGGAGACTTTGGGCTCTGTAAAAAATAAGCACACAAATGCAGGTGTTAGGCAGTTCACTCAGTAAGAACACAGTATTTCTGTGAAGCTGACAGGCCTGGCTTGAGGGCTACCCCTGCATTTATGTGAAACATAACAAATAACTGTAACACTTTTATTGCTAAAAGAGAAACAAAATGGTATGAAAAAGCTTGAAGAGAAGGCAGGGGAGGAACAGATGTCTGAAAAATGTTTCACTTGGGCAGACTGAGTTGACATTCTAAAATTTCTTGAGGGTGCCAGATGTGTTGAGGGGGTTGTGAAAGAAAGGAGAATCTCCCACTCCTCCCTCCAAAGTGAATTTCAGTTTCTTTAGTGAGAAGCAAGAATATCTCACAGATCTTCACAGTATCCACTCTGACCTCTCAAGCTGGCTGGTAGACAATGTAGTGTACTGGTTGGACTGTGAAGACATGATTCAGGTTTAAGTGACTGTGTCCAAGTCACATGGCTTCTTCAGCTTCCCCTTCTGAGCTGGATATATTGAGATACATGAGCTTGGGTACAATAATGCAAAGGATAGAGATGTTCTTGTAGCTATTACAATTTACAAGCTTTACAATGCATTAGAGGTCTGGTTTTGCTTATGGACAGGTAGTTGAGAAGCAGGTGACTGAATTACTCTGATTTACTCCAGTTGCTTTGTTAAGCTGACTTAATACTAAAAGGAATTTTCCTATCACCTGCCTTTAGAGCTTCCTGAAATCCTGGCTTTAGGGCTGTTCTGCAGTATCTGGGGCAGTGTACCTTCTTTCTCTGGTGTCTAGAAAGAAGAGCTGTTCCTTTCCTTTCTGCACTGTGCCATTGCTTTGCTTTTTTTTTTTTTTTTTTGGTAGGTGGAAAGAGGCCATACATTCCTAGCCCCCACTTTTATCCTCCAAGTTATTGCCCTTCCAAGTAGTTTTGCTTTTAATCACAAGGAAACACATGGGGGGAAAAAGTGGCTCTCCTAAGGAAACAGGTCCTTCCCCTTCTACACAAACCTCCCCTTGTCCATGGGCAGAGAGAACTGCTTATAAAATTAATCTGGTTAATAAATATTCATAACAGAGAAGACAGCATGTAACTCCTGGTTAGTGGCTTATGTGAAGTTAAGGCTCCAGGTTACTAAGAATGTTATGCTACCTGCCGATGCTTGCGGGAGTGTTGTGTAAGATCTGAGCTCTTACCTTTCTAGCAGGCAGCCATCATTAGAGGTGAAGCATAGAGGCAGCAACTGTGAAAGCTGTGGCAAAGAAAACTCACTGAATTGCTTCAGTGCTGCATTTTGCTGTTCTCCCTGACTGCAAAAGTCACAGTGACTTGAACTGAACAGGCTGTCGTGCCTGGGGTAACAGCAGGCTAAATCTGTTGTTTAGAAGGAGATGGAGTTACTTAGCATGCTGTATCCTCCCTACTGAAACTGTGCCTCCTCTTCAGACTTCCAGTTGTTTGCATTGTCATGTTCACTGTTTGTGTTCCTTCTGCTCTGCTTGTCCCCTCAGCTTTGATTAGTGCTTGGCTGTTGCCTTCCTGAGTGCTCCCTAGGAAAGTGACGATGATCACCTTCATGAACAACTCGGACAGTGAGGAGGAGGCCTGCAATGAGAGAACATCGCTGATGTCTGCAGAGAGCCCTCCAGTACCCTCCTATCAGGATGGCCTGCAAGCTTCAGAAGCAGGGGAAGCGCAGGCACGTAGGGTAGGTGTGCATCCTTCTTTGGGAGTGAAGAAATGGGGTGTGATGATAGATACAGTCCTGCTAGCCCTCAGTCCCTCCCAGCAGACTGGCTTCGAGGACTGGTTCCTAGGACTGGCTTTGGCCAGTGTTGTTTCTCTGGTGTCGCTCTCAGCCAGCAGCAGCAGTACCTGTTCCCATTTCCTCCACTGTGACTTTTTCCCCCCTTTTTATTTCCATGTATACTCCTCCCTTTTCCTTTTGGTAAAGATCCAGGCCTTATGGCCTTTGTTAAAGAATCGGGACCTGATGGATATATGACTCTTACAGGATATCCTTTTCAGCCTTCTTGTTTTGCCAGGAACCCTTTGTCTGCTCTGGTCAATTGCAGCAAATATTAGAACAGAACCTAGTCCTGCTGCCAGCAAAGCAGCAGGGTAAAGCAAGCACAGCATTGCTGTGGGGGGAGGAACCGGTCAAGCTTATGCCACCTCAGATGACATTATTGCTATCTCAGTTCTGGGCATCTTGCTCTTCACGTGCATGTGTCCATCTATGTATTTGCACTTGAAGAGGCTCTTAGATATTCATGGTTTAAAAATTGCACTACAGCCTGTTTGCAATGGAATTTCTAATTGTATTGTTGGTACCTTTCTGTTAGGAACAAGTTGATATGCTGTGGTGACCTACAGCAGCCTCATGAAATATGATGGAATAAAGCTTTGAACACAAAGAAAATAAGCGTCTTATATATTTGCTAATATTTCTTTTCAGAAAAGGCGAACAGGTAGCAACCGTAGCCCTAACAATATTGCTGATGGGGAAATGTCTGACTCGGGTGTTCCAGTGAGAGAAAGCGCCTTGGAAAATGAAGAGGAGGAACTGACTCTGAAATATGGAGCAAAGCATGTAATCATGCTCTTTGTGCCTGTCACGCTTTGTATGATTGTTGTCGTCGCCACCATAAAGTCAGTGCGCTTCTATACGGAGAAAAACGGGCAGCTGTAAGTGGGGTCTTCAAAACAGCCTCTGAGTACCTGGGATCCCTAGCTTTACACATACGTTCCAAGCACGCGGGTCTGTGCACACAGAGTGCTTCCTTGGCAGGTTAGGAGGATCTTTACACGGCTAAAGGTGGCTGTGTCAACAAAGATCTTAAAGTATGCTACGTTCATCTGTGTAAGTTTTTTCCGTACTTGCATTATACTGATTCATTAGCACTGTCATTAGGGCACCCTAAGCGAAGCCTGTGAGCAGCATAATCATGAAGTTGCTTCATACTGCAGCATAAAAGGCCCAGGCTGAGCTCCTAGTCTGTGCTCTCGCTAGCTGGCAGCAATCAGGGAATAGCATGTTCATTTGGATGAGTGTCTCATTTCCTGATGACATTTCTGTTCCTGAAGACTCATGGTGTGGATACATAATTCCATCCAGCTCTTGCTGACTATGCCTGAAGAGCACCCCTGGGGCTCTAAATGCACTTCATGCGTCGGGTAGAGAAACGGGGACTGTGGTCCCTTGAACTGAACCAAAGGTAACAACACGGGGGTGCAGGGTGATGAGAGAGGATAAAAGTCCAAGATTCTCCTATCAAGTGTGGAAAGAAAGGGTGCCCCCGTTAGAGGACAGCACTTGGGATGTATCCTTATAATTATCATGGAGAGGATCCAGAGCATGCAATAAAAATTCGTGGCCTGGAGAGAAGTTACTAAAGTTAAATGAAGTCATTTACACTCCAGGTCTCTTTGTTTAGAGCTCTGCTAGCCACAGCTGCTCTGCAGGAATGCGCTTTTGATAGCGCTAATCTTTAGTTGATAATTAACTGGAGCTCAGCCCCTTCAGAGGCTACATCTCTGTTTGCTGTCCTTGGCAGTCATACCTCCCTTTCTTTCCCACACACAGAGGGGTCTGGTTTTATCTTGGGGCAGTTAGAAGAGAATATATATAATTATATGGCTTTTGCTTTATACTGCAGGATCTACACCCCTTTCAGTGAGGATACCACGTCTGTGGGCCAGCGCCTCTTGAACTCGGTGTTGAACACCATCATAATGATCAGTGTCATTGTTGTAATGACTGTGTTCCTAGTTCTGCTCTATAAATATCGCTGCTACAAGGTAAAGTGTTCATGCCAGAGCCTTTTTCACCTGTATGCTGTGAACTTGAGTTCAAGTTGGGCTTGTGTGTCAGTGACAACTACAGGCGCTGTGCTGGCTAGTCCACATCTTGGTCACAGCAATAATCATACTGTACAGAAGCCATTGTCAGTGGTGGTAGAGCTGTGCCCCTGAATTATGCTTTGCTTTTATTTTGTCACTAATGGTAGGCTCTTAAAAACGACGCCTGTTCCTTTGGTTAGTCAGGTCAGAGTCTTCTCCATCCGATCAAAAAGTCCTGTTGTTTGTACTTATGGACTAAGTTGTACTATTTACTGCAAATGCATTCTCTTAAGAAGTCTTAGGCAAGCTTTGTGGGAACTGGTATTCTTCCTGCTTGTGGAGGCTTGGAGGGAGAGGTACATGCAGGTTTTGTGGTGGCCAGGGAGTTGTTATATGTGGTACTGGCCCATCATTTGAGTACTGGCCATTGCTGCTTTCTAAACTTGGTTCTGAGATGGATTTATTGTACAGCCTTTTTCAAACTACTCCTCTTCCTCCCCCTCCCCCCCTCCAAGCAGAGAGAACATGCTTACCTGTCTAAGCTAGCAGCCAGCGTAGGAACCAAACACCAAGCGATAAAATATAAAATGAAAGAGTTTGAGAGAATGGGGAGCAACTGGCTGTCCCTTTTCTCTTACTGGCAGTGGGGAAGGCAGGGTCTTTGGACACTGGAGGAGTGCCAAAGGAGACTGTTGGACAATAGGAAGCTGTGTCAGTAGTGCATGCAGTGCTGCGACCTGCTGCAGGAGTAACAGCCCTTTCAATCACTGTCTCTTCTTGCCCTTGATAGTTCATCCATGGCTGGCTGATCCTGTCCTCTTTGATGCTGCTCTTCCTCTTTACCTACATATATCTCGGGTAAGTGGGAATGGTGCCCCTGGCAGTTTGGGGCTCCTTCACCTCTTTGCAGAAAATCCCCAACTTAAGAAAAGGAATGTCTCTCCTTTTCCAAATGGAGGTTTAAGAACTGTTAGAAGGGGATAGCTTTCTTTTTTAAAAAATGGAAAATGAGGTCTTTAATAGGCAATGCCTGATTTTTTTTTTTAGTGTCTACCCTACAAAAATCACTGGGAAGCAATACTGTGAGCATGAAACGAACAGGCTGAACCTTGTGATACAGAGGTCCTGAATTATACATTGAGAAGCAAGTGGAAAGGAACTTTATGTGCTGAATTGGTTCTCTGATTTGTCTTGCCTTTTTCTGAGACTATATTGTTTTAAGCTCATTCCCTTAGCTCCCAGCTCAGGTAGAACCTGCAAGTGACACTTATTAAGACTTTTCATTTTTAACTGTAAGCATCATGTGTCTGGTGGGATGACTCTTGCATGACAACTTTGCTGCAGACAGTCATGTAGCTGTAGGCCTGTGTTCACTTAAGACTTGAAATCCTGCCTGCTCAAACCCTTGGAATCACTGTTTGACCTCAGGACTAAGGCAGTGTGGTGATTTTCTGCACACACAACACGTCCATCTCCTGCAGGAGGAGCAGAGAGTTAACAGCAGCTGTTGGCCACAAGGCAGGTTCCTCTCTCATGAGGAGAGCTGCTTCTATCCTGCTTTCTCCTGGTGTAGTAGGAGGCCTGTTTGTTTAACCACAGCTAATAGGATGCCTTGTGTGTCAGTTGCTTTTATTGCTTAGCTAAATTTTCTTGTTGTATTCCAGTGAAGTACTGAAGACATACAATGTGGCCATGGACTACCCCACTCTCTTCTTAGTCATCTGGAATTTTGGAGCTGTTGGAATGATTTGCATCCACTGGAAAGGTCCCTTGCAGCTCCAGCAAGCGTATCTCATTATGATTAGTGCTCTAATGGCACTGGTTTTCATTAAGTATCTACCTGAGTGGTCAGCATGGGTGATTCTAGGTGCAATCTCCATCTATGGTAAGTCTGGGTTGTGACTCTCAAGGTGTGCTTCATCAAGTTACACAGTCCTGAGATTGCCTCAGAGTATGTCGTTCAGAAAACAACTTTATGGTGCTAACAGCTTTAGAAAGAGCCAGATGGGCAGTTAAGTTGACTCCCTGGCTTGTCTCTTGCTAACTTGTTTATGTCAGTACTGTGCTCCTACCATGTTTTTTAAAGTGGAACACCGAGTCAGGGAGGTACTGAACTGCATCTACTGCATGGGTAGAGGTGGTTGGATTTTTATCAGTAGCAACCTGACAGTCTTGCAGGTTTTGTTTACAGTTATCAAGAGATCATGGATTTTTGGTATGAGTTACAAGTATCAAGAGAACCTGCAGAACAAGAGGCAGCTGGGAGGTAATATTCAGATTGGTGAGGAGCTCTGATGAGGAGAGAGGGTAGGCAAAGAGAAACTGGACCCAAAGGCCTTCATTCATGTGAAAAATAGAGTCAGAGTATGTAGCGATGGATTGTGGAATGTGAACAAAGTACCCTCAGTTGTCCTGTAATTAAATTTAACACCTTGATGTAATACTGTCATCTATTTTCAAAGAAATAATGTGGTATTCTCAAGAGGCTTTTTACAGAGTTAGCACAGTGAAAACTCTTATTACTACATTAAGTCTTGGGGATGGTATTTTAAGTGAACAACATCTTCAGGGAATAGAACAGTAGAGTTATGCTGAGTGGCAGAAACTGCCAGGAAATCATTCAGTTAATATTGATAGGTGCAGTTTTGAGGGGAGAAGAGCTTTTTTTAAGATAAAGAATGTAAAATACGCATGATAATTTGACATGAGATTGTCTGGCCCTTTTCTTTTTGCAGATCTGATGGCTGTTCTCTGTCCCAAGGGGCCACTGAGAATGCTGGTAGAAACTGCACAGGAGAGAAATGAGCCCATTTTCCCCGCATTAATATATTCCTGTGAGTATGATTAGAATGTTAATGTTTTTAGTCAGATTAAACTCATAACCTATTTCTGTGTTAAACCAAAGAGCACTATGTTAGTTACTTCCTTGCCCTAAGAATGGTGTTCATTTATGTTCTGGAACAGGCCATTTGTAGAAGGCCTTGTTTATCAGTTACAGTTGTGTCAACTCTAATTAGCCAAAGGCAGCCCACACTTGCCTTGTGAAGCTGAAATGTTCAAAAGTAGATTTATCCTTTCGTGAATACTGTGCAGAACATGCCCTTTGTTCTGCATACAAAAACCTGTGTTAGGTTGACGGTAGTGTTTGCAAAGTTCTGTGAATAAATGATGCTCACTCAATACACTTACTACTTATGCATACACTTTATAGACACACTTCAAATGTGTAATGAGCTTCCATTCTTCCCATAGCACCCTCTTGTTCTGTGTACTATATGGATGTCAGTGCTTAGAATATATGTGTTATTACTCATTGTGTGGATGTTCACTTTGTAAAGGGCTCTATTCAGGTATTGCTCTGCCAACAGAATCAATTGTCTTTTCCCTGGCTTTCTCTAGCTGTTTAACTCTGATGGTGTCTGGTACACCTATCTACAAATGCATATATGTGCTTAAGATTAAGATAGTTGGAAGGCAGGTGACTCAACACTCGCGGGACCTGGGCTCAAGTGCTTCATGGAACTCAGTGGCTTTTTCATTACATTGTTAAGACCAATGGGTGTTTCCAAATGTTGGGTGCTAAGTTGAAGATGCCTACAACCTGATGGAATAATTTAATGTTATATAAATGCTTTTATATGTTCCAAGCAGAGCTTCTGTTCGCTTCAGCTGACCTCCCTTTTACTGGAGATGCTGTTATACTGACCTGAGACAAACTAGATGAAGTCTCTCACATGTCTGAGTTAATGAAGAGTTTATCTAAAGGAGAATGCAATTCAACAAATACTAAATACTGAACAAAAAGTTCCTGTGCAGAACATCAGAGTCTCCATTGCAAGACCACAATCTGTGGCTCCCTCCTAGATGGAAAAATATCACCTTAGCTGAGCTTGTAGTGGAAAAGCAGGCACTATGTTTGCCTTGGCTTATTTTGTTTAGTTTAGCTTCTATAAAAACAGGAAGACTGATGTATGCTTAAATAAACAGCTGATTTGAGTTCCCTTCCACTGATTTCAGAATGGTTTGTATTCCTTTTTAATTTAGGGATCCATCTCCAGAATAAACCCTCAAACATCCTTCAGTTGTTCTTGGAACCAAAACAGAAATAGCCAATATTTTGACAGGAAAGAACCAAAACAAATACCCAGAGAGAAAACTAGCACTCTAACTTCTGCATGCCCCTCACTTGTGTGTTTTACCTTTAGCAGAACATGAGGAGTAAGCTGTGTAAATTAGCCTCTGGTTAACTTTTGTACTACCATCATTTCCTGCGCAATATTTTATTTGAAGAAAAGAGCCAGAAACCAGGAAGAAAAGGAAGAATATGAGGACCCTAGTTCTGCATCTTTGCTTTCTCTACTCTACAGAGAAGACTATACTGACTCTTAGCTATTTGTGCTCTAGGACTTTCTTAAAAACTGAATGGATGCACTGCCTTAATTTTCTCACACTTTGCCTTCTAAGCACCTAGGGAAACCAACTAAGAGTGTGTTAAAAGCATTTGCAGGGATAAGGATTTGTATTTTCAGGGACAGCTAAATACTCAGCTCCTCTGAGCTATAGTGACTGATGTTTTACACAGATGATTACTTTCTTTCTCTCTTCTAGCTGCCATGATGTGGACAGTTGGAATGGCAAAGCCAGACACGGCAGCAAGAGGACTGAGTCAGCAGACGTGGGATGCAGGTTTGCTTGCATGTCACTCTTCTATACAGAGCACTGTCCCATGGAAATAATGTGTATGTTTGGGACTGCAAGTAAATGTAAGCCCCTGAGTCCTGATGGATGCGGGTTTTTTCACTGTTGTTACATTAGTTGCAGAACTTGGTGATGTTTTGAAACCTGCTGTTAGGACTGGCAGCAAACATGGCCAGACAAGTAGGAAGCTCCAGTATTCAGGCTGCTTTTACTTAAACAACCAAACAAAAAACCACATGGAAGTGTTGTTCAACACGCATCTTCAGAAGTACTGAAGTCAAAGCTGGAAGTGGCTAGTGGAGTTTTATATTTTTACTGTCTGGGTATGGTAAATTACAACATAGACTCAGAAATATCAGAGAGTGGTTTGGGTTGGAAGGGGCCTTGAATATCAGCTAGTTCCAAACCCCCTGCCATGGGCAGGGACACCTTCCACTAGACCAGGCTGCTCAAAGCCCCGTCCAACCTGGCCTTGAACACTGCCAGGGAGGGGGCAGCCACAGCTTCTCTGGGCAACCTGTTCCAGTGCCTCACTGCCATCACAGGAAAAGAATTTCTTGGTATATCTAATTGGACTCTACCCTCTTTCAGTTTAAAACTGTTACCCCTTGTCCTATAACTACGCTTCCTGATAAAGAGTCCCTCCCCATCTTTCCTGTAGCCCCATTAAAGCACTGGAAGGCCACTATAAGGTCTCCCTGGAGCCTTCTCTTCTCCAGGCTGAACAACCCCAACTCTCTCAGCCTGTCTTCATCAGGAAGGGGCTCCAGCCCCCTGATCATCTTTGTGGCCTCCTCTGGACCTGCTTGAGCAGGTCCATGTCCTTATGTTGGGGGCCCCAGAGTTGGACACAGCACTGCAGGTGGGGTCTCATGAGAGCTGAGTAGAGATGGAGAATCCCCTCCCTTGACCTGCTGGCCACACTTCTCTTGATGCAGCCCAGGACACACTTGGCCTTCTGGTTGGGCCTGACTCTATTCATCAGTGTAAGGATACTCTTGGCTTTCTGGGCTGTGAGCACACATTGCTGGGTCGTAGTCAAATATAATGCTGATGAGCTGGTGAACTTAAGTGTGTGGCAGCATGTTGCATTGAGGCCACTGCCATGGAGCAGACATGCTTTTACCTAGCAGTAAGTGCAATATGGCTTACCCTGCCCAGGAGAACGAATGTCTTTTCATTTACCCTTGGGTAAAGGCTTATGTTTGGGCAGTTACCTAACACTAGCTGATGTGTTCCAAGTTTACAGGTTGGTCCTGTGGTAATTTGTGTGCCTTTGACTTTATCTTCTTGAAATGCAAGTTAAACTGCAGCTCTAAGGTGATTGAGTAAAACCTGACTTGTGGTGTTGTGAGGATTTCCCATTTTGTCCTGCTGCACTTCAGAGATGACAGTACCTTTTTACGTTATATCAATATATGTATGCTAAGGTTTGCTAACTGAACATGCTGCTTATTTCAGGATAAAGCAGCTGACATACTAACAAACCACAGGGACACAATCCTGCTTTGAAACTGGGCACATAGCAGGCACAAACTACATGCTGAGGTGTACAGAATGCCTCTGTGGAAGCTCTGCGTGTCCCAGAGCAGTGTCTGCTTCTGCAACAGCAGAAGCATCCTGTCAGACTGATGTGGACTGGAAAGTTTGTATGAGTGCTTCTGAAAAATAGGCACTGTCAGAGTAATATATCACAGACTGGCTGCTTCCAAAAGGAAGAGCTATGTTAGATGTGTTTAATAGTGGGGTGTGTGTGTATCTGTGGCCAATTAAATGTGTCCACTTTCTACATGTGAACACGCAGGTCCAATGTCAGTGTGATTCAGGGCAGAACTTTTTTTATAAATGGCAGTCCTCTTAGTCATCCATTTTTGTCATATGACCAGTTAGGGAGCACCTCCACCCCAAAGATATAACAATGTGGGAATGCATATTAACTTCACTTGGTTTTACTTGTCATTCTAGCCTCTGCAGAGCAATGCTGTGTATGTACTCACTTGTTAAAGCCATTGAACTCCTGGGTAGCTGCCAAAGCTGCTGTGAACATGTACTCTTCTGACTGTTTCAAATAATAGCATGTGTTTTCCTCAAAGCCACTAAATGTCTCTGCTTGAACTGGTCCTGATGATCACACTTCCAAGAAACAAAGGGCTTACCCATTCCAGAGAAGCTTCACAGAAGCGTGGCTTTCATGCATTAAAATAAGTTATAAATGTAGCTACCTTTTGTGTTTTTTGTTTTTGGGTTTTTTTTTGTCTGTTGCTCTTGGCCTATTTCTGTGGAACCAAGCTGAAGATGGGAGAGAGAACCACAGGAGCCCTTCACATGCAGACTCTCAGATGTCGGAGACGAGGAGTCCTGTTCCAACCCGCCCTATCACTTCTTTAGAAGAGCTCGAGGAGGAGGAAAGTAAGGGAAGCTTTATACCTTGTTTTTAGTGTAGTCGGAGGCAGAGCCTGACGTCTTTACTCCTTGTGGTTAACACTCTGGTACCCAGTTTGGTCTAATCACAGTTAATTTGAAGAGTTGTAACTTGAGTAACAAAGATCTTGAGTCTGACTGTGTTACTACTTGCTGCTGCAGAATCTGTTCTGGGAATGTGGTTCCTGTAACATCTCTTGGCTACAATTTAAACAGTTCCTTCTTCCCCTTGCCTCCCATCCCACTCCATCCTCACACTTCTTCAGCTGGTGGTACATCTGTAAACCAGCCCAGGGAAGCACCTCAAAGAGTGATGCTGAGCAAAAATAACTGTGAGAGAGGGGCCTGGAAGTCTCAGCCTGCTTAGTATATGTGTGGGATACTGAGGTTCCAGGTTGGTAGCCTGGACTAGGAAGGAACCTTCACCTTCTCCCTAGGGGACAAGAATTTGTTCAGGAGGAAGCAAAATGAGATGAGCAGAATTAACACTTGTTTTCTTTTTCCCCTTCTCTCAGGGGGTGTGAAGCTGGGCCTTGGAGACTTCATATTTTACAGTGTGCTTGTTGGGAAGGCAGCTGCTACAGCTAGTGGAGACTGGAATACTACGCTGGCATGCTTTGTAGCCATTCTCATAGTAAGTGAGCAAGTTTTGAAAAAACCTCTGTTACACCCTGTTTAGCATGGCAGTGTTGCCAGAAGTACCAGCAGCTGAGCACTGCTAAATCACTGCAGGTAACATGCTGGGTATTTAGGAGAAACCACCCAGTACTTTGTCTATAAAGACAGGCTTTAAACAGCCACTGAAGCTGAATGATATGGACTCGTCAGAGCAGAGCCAAGCGTGGAGATGGTGGGGGTGAAACAGCCACAGGAAGTTACAGTTGAACTGTTAGTGTGTTTGCTTCAGCATTAAAAGACTGGGGACTTCTGTGGGCCATGAGAGTCAATATGAAGTCCACATTGATTAGCAAGTATAGTAGAAAAGGTTATCTCCCTTAGGCTAAGGAGAACTGCTAGATAAGAGCATGAAGACCTATCCTGTTCTGGGGTTCGAGCTGGAAAAACTACGAAGGAAGGAGACTTAAAAGTCCATGGGAATTATCAGTAAAAGCAGATGATGATCATACTGTAACTGCTAAAGGACTCGGTCCTGCAAGTTTTAATGACCACACACTGTTGAGCTTTCACCTAGGTAGAAAATAATAACTAGGAACATGCTGTTTACATTAGCATCCTCATGGAAACTAACCAGAAAAGCAATGGCAGGATTTTTAGACGGTAAAAGAAAGTGAATTATTGTGTCCTTGGGCCTCCATTTCCCCATTTAGATCCCAAGGATAGTGAAAGACAGTGACTTGTGAAGATCATGAATCAAAAAGCATGAAAACTAGAGATGAGCTAACTTAGTGTGTTGAGTGTAGCTTTCCTACCTCCCAGGTCAGAGAAACCTATAGGATTACTTGGTTCCATATTCTGGGGTCTTGCACAGGGTCCCTTTGATAGAGGAAATGTTTTCTCTTGTCTGTCTGTGAGGCCAAGTGCCCCATTCTGTTTTTTTTACGGTGCTGTTAAAATTTGTTCTGTCTCCTTTTGCAGTTTCATAATCCTGTTGCTATGTAGCTTTCTGGTTCCCAAAAATATCCCTGCAGTGTCCCAGCAGTGAGCATATCTTTAAATGTAGATGTGAACTAAGGAGCAGGTGTAGGCCAGATATGATCCCTGAGCTACTGGCTCAGTTGGATTGTAATCAAACCTGCAGTTTAGAAACACTGATGTAAAAGAAATAATTAAAAAAAAATATATATATTACTGTCTGCTGATCTTCAGCTAGTGGATATTTTTGGAGTCTATTTTTTGTCTCTGAAGTTTTGTCATCATGGAGGAATTTAAAAGGGCTCAGATGAGAGAAGGAATCCACACCTAAATGCCATATGGTCTACCCAAAATGTACAAAAGCTTTCACATGTGCTACAATAAACAGATCTTGGCCTGCTATGCAGATAAAACCAGAATTGCCTATCATAGTAAGCAGTCCAGTCCAAAGAACAGCAGTGGATATTTTGTTTTTTGTTTCTTTTTTTTAAATTTTTTAATCCCAAGAGACCTTGAAAACTAGGAAGGTGTTAGAAGTACATGCTGCTGTGTATTAGAGTCCTGCAGTGAAACTCCTTATCTGTACATTCATGAGGATTTAAATGCTTTTCTCTGCTGGATCAGTACTTCATAAGTAATAGCATAGAACAAGATGTAAAATAATCTGTGAATAAATTAACCTCTCAGGGTCAGCTGTATGTCATCAGAGAACTGTGCTAAAGATAAAAATACCTGGCCAACTTGTGTGAAAGGTGAAGCTGTGAGCACATGTACCTCATGCCACTGGTAGCTTCAATGGCTGTACAGTGTATACAGCTTATTGTTTGTATATTAGGTTGTTGATGACAGATACATTTCTGGGCTTCTTACTGTATCTCCTTGTGTTTTTATTCTCTTCCCTCTGGCAGGGTTTATGCTTAACTCTTCTATTACTGGCTGTTTTTAAGAAAGCATTGCCTGCTCTTCCCATCTCCATCACCTTTGGCTTGGTCTTTTACTTCTCGACGGACAACCTTGTTCGACCATTCATGGACACCCTGGCCTCCCATCAGCTGTATATTTAGAAGAAGTGGGAGTTAGAGGATTCTCCTTAAAGTTTTGCTGTGAACTATGGTACACTGTTTGGAGTAAGTCATAAAGTTTTACACTTAGTGCCATATATTTCTAAGGAAAACACTAACTCTGTGACATAATGGGTACTGAAAAATCCAATAGTTACATGTTGAACTGAGATTTTTCACAGGACTCTTGGACTCCAGTGAAAACCGTGGCTCATTGCTGATGTCAGAGCATTACTTTTATGTTATTTGATGTGCAAACTGGCTGTTGCAAACACAGAAATGTTTATGTAGCATGTGACACTAGAGAGGTGAAGGGTCTGATCTGTGCTTCCAGAAGCCAAGGTGTTTTAGCCCTGGAATTGCAGTCAAGTTTAACTGTATTCCAGAGTTTCTCACACTTTTGAAGTGGTGTGGAGACATGTGGTGCAAGTAAATCATACCTGTAATTAGAAAAGCATAGCAGCCAGCATGCACGGAACAGAGTAGTGCGTTACACCTGGTCATGAGCATTAGAGAAGTGAGGCTGAACTTCGTAAGCTGGCCTCCGGGCACACGACTTCTGTTGGAATTGCCCCAAATGCCTTTTTCTTCTGACCTTAGACATAGTGAGCCATGACGGATCTAGACAGGATGTCAGTGGTGGGATGTTTAAACATCAGGCTCCTGGTTCTGAGCGTATCCACCACTGCAGGTAACAGCTGATGAAGGCAAAGCTGCCTGCTCTAGCGCATCATATCCTCAACGTGGGAAAACAGATACTTTTTTCCTGTCTCCTCCCAGCATTTTATCTTTTTGGAAATCTTTTTCTGGGTCCATGATAGAATCCTCATATCGCCATAAAGTGGAAATTACTGCACAACTCCAGTAAATCAGACCTGTGACTTCTTGTGTGTATTTCTGGTCTCATTTCTGTGCATTATTTTAACTATTCCAAAGGAGGATTTACCTTCCCTTTATGAAGAGGTCCTCTTACACTGATTGAGACTTGGTTTACCTAGCTTTTGGTACTGTTTAAAGATTATTTTTTAATTACAAATTTTAAAATAGGTATTTGCTGTCAAAGGGACTGTTGGAAATACCCTGTCATAGTTTGTATCAAAACGGGGTGTGTGTGCAAACTTTAATCAGCTGTTATGTTATTCTGCATAAGGCATCGTTAATGCTAGGAATATTTACACACCCTCGAGTGAATTAATTTAAAAAAAAATCACAGTGCTTGTTGACAATAAAAAATACAGATTTGACTGAACCTTACTGTTTTCTCCACCGTTTAAAATAATTTTACTTCTACTCCAAGAGTGAGTTTTTCAGAAATAGCCAAATTACATGTTTGGTTTTTTTTTCCTTGAGTAGCTCTGTTACACAAACATGCTCTGTTTTATCTGACAGCTGATCAATATCTGTGTTTCAAAATGTAACATTATGCAAGGTTTTGTGAATAATGCAATGTCATTGAGAGATCCAGAATTTAATCTCTACAAATACTTTTTTAGATAATGCTTTGAACTACGCATTTTTAAGGTGGTGCTTTTTTCAATAGACTTGTTCAAGCTAATCTACTTTGATATTTAACAGGGACCTCACACAGGTGATTCAAACAAATTTTTAAAAAGCACATAAGGGTTTTTTACAAGTTGCATGTGCCTCAGTTGGGACAAGTAATTAATTCTTGCTCTTTGTTTTCTGTCCTCATTTCTTACATTTGCAATGTTTGGACTTAACAGCTGCAGACTAAAAGGTATTTCCTTTGGAAACGTAAATCACTAGAGCTCTGTCTGCTGTTTTTTAAGTTTTATGTGAGAATTCATTTTTCTGTTTGTTTAGGATTATTTTTTTTTTTTTAAACTAAACCAGTTAAGGGGCCAAGTCAGCATACAGTCACTTGGAAACATGATTTTACTGTGTGAATTGCATGGTGTAGAGAGGATGTGAAAGATTTATACATACTGGAAGAAAAATCCTGCTTGGTTTAACAGGGTTGTAGCATATTGTTAGAAAAAAAATTGTTTCTATGAAAGCAGAGTTGAAATCTGAAGGAAATTGGGGGGTACCTTCAAATATTGAAGGATCACTACTGGAGCTGGTGGTTTTCTGCAGATTTGTGCTTGCCAAAGATTGGCCTTCCACCATGCAGTTCTGTGTAACTTAAAAATTGTTATTTAAAAGGCAACTGCGCAACAGATTCTGTCAGTGCAACAAAATGTATTGTCCTGGTGAGTGATAGGAATATATCATGTATATACTGGAGTGGTTTTAATTGTGTAAAAGTTCGTATGTATTTACTACAAATAATATATATTCATTTTGTGTATATGCACACATACATACAAGCTTTAAAATTATATTGAGTGATTTCTCATCTCATTGGACATTTTCACCTGTGCATAAAGTGAAGTTTTGTTTGTGATGTTAACATTGTGCAGCATGGCCTAAGATGTGAAAATGGAGAGGGCAGGATTTACTGTACTCCCTAGCTGGCTACTACATGAGATGCTGACTGTCAGTGACTTTGCTTTGCTTATTCAAATTGCCTTGTCTATTGTGTTCATTCACTAATTCCAGCTTGCTGCATGCTCTGCTGAACTGCAGTCTCTTTCACCCTGAAGAAACCCTAATACTCCCACTGATGCACATCCCTGAAAAAGTACAGCTGTCAGGTAGGCAGGGGTGACACCCATCTTGATGCAGATGTCACTCAATGGCCTGAAGTCCTATAGGAGATGCCATGTGTTGGCATTTTCCTACATGATCCCTGTCACACCCACCCCTTCTCTCCAGTCTAAAATGAGTGTCTCACTGCATCTAGTCTCAAATGTGGTTTGGGCATACACCAATCCCTAACATGTAAGACTGAAGCTAGGTTCACAAACAAATTTAGTGGTAAACCACCCTCATGCAAACCCTAACTTTTCATTGGTGGGAGATATGTAGCCTACTTGCAGCATTTAGTGCCTTTGTTAGAAGCATGTGAACTTCAACAGTTTGGCATTGTTGCCTTCTGACTATGCAGTTGCTGCTTGTACTTATTGCTGTGTTTCCTTTTGCCACTTCATCGCTGCTTTTGGTTTTGATTTGTTTTGGGGTTGTTTTGTTTAAAGTGTCTACTGTGCATCAAAAGACTGCAGATGCGTTCTGCCTGCAGAGAGTGCACAAGAAGCGGCACAGTCATAAAGAAAGTACAAGAGACAGGACACTCTTTGCAGAATCATGCGGTGCTTCCACAGCAGCTCTCATCGGATATTCAAGGTCTCATTCATAAAAAACCTAACTTCAGGTTCTTAAGGAAGTCACTCAGAAAGGAGTTGGTCTGTGCTAGAAATGTCATCTCCTGGTTCACAGAGAGAAAAGGACACATTTGCAATATGAAGTGTCTCAGCAAGAGCTTTATAAACACTGCTGAAGCTGGGCCAGTGAGGATTAGTACATACAGCAAAGTCACAGCACACATTTACCAGTCAGGAAAAAGAGCAGTGGTTTGCTCTCCCATACCTTCTTTGCACCAGTCACTAGCAAAGCTTCCCCCACAGGGCAGTTGGATGAAGTCAGATGAACTGTCTCTTTTTGAGCAAATGGCACTTGCTGATGCAGCTCTGGTGAAGAATAGATCAGAGCCCACTATGCTTGCAAAGCAAAGTATTTGGAGGCCTCCCTGTTACTCCCAAACCATTGAGTTTCTCTGCTTCATTCTTGCCTTCCAAGGTACTTCAACTTAATCACACTGTGCGTTTGTCTTCCTCTTCCTTGTAACTCAAATTGCATTTTGGTTTAAATTGAATATATAGTTATTGTTGCCCTCAGTTCTCGGTCTCCCTGTTGCTGCATAAGAGATGCTCCTTGGCAGCCACGGGAGGGCAGTAAGTCTATAGGGAGAAGTACCGGCCATTTTAAAGGACTGCTGTGTGCCCCTTGTTTTTCAGTGAGACTGAAGGCCCTGTGGAGTCTCCCTCATGGCAGGGAGAGAGCATGCACCCCACACCCCAGCATGGCTGGAATTTTTGCAAAGCACAGTAGAAGCTTGAGTGCAAGTGAGCTCACTGTACCAGAATCCATTTAAAAATAGCTGGTTTCAATGTCATGCCATGTTCAGCACTGCAGCTCTGGGTAATGTGCTGCTGTTACACTGCACACTGTTTTGTTTGGGTTCCTCCTTTTTTTTTTTTTTTTTTTTTTTTTCCTAGTGTCAACCCTACAAACCCCAAGCATAAGTCAGGAGCTCCCCTACACATTGCTAAATTAGATTTTCTTCTGAGCATCTTCAAGAAGCAAAAGAATAATTATACTTACTGCTTTGTCATTCTTCCTCTCACTTGCAGTCTCCTATTATCCCAGCTGGTCTTGCTACTCTGGGGAAGAAAAAAGAGCATGTTGTTGTCACTGCAGCTCTTGGCACTGGGGAATATAGGGTCTAGGTAGATCATGTTGTCTGTGCTCTCGGGAGGACCAGGGGCTATCTAGTTTTCTTGAATTCAGTTGTTTTATAAGAAAGCAGCCTGGACAAATATGGTATCTTTGCCAGAACTTCTACTACCACACTATTCATATGCCTCCTAACACACTGTTGCATCCCTCGTTGAATTTATCCTTGCTTCTCCTACCCCCAGTAAGGTAAAGTGATGTGAGCTGTTTACATTCTACAAATGGGAATCAGTAAGAAGGTAAATGCAGGGTTTAAGCTTAGTTACATAAGAAAGATTGCCCACATCAGATCAAGGTATCAAACATGATCACTCAAGTCACTATAATTTCTTTTTACATCTTCCCTCTGCTGCATGTTTGCTGTCACCCATCTTTTTCCACTCTAAATTCAAGACATTTGCCCATAGCACTCAAGGAGTTAAGTGAATATGAACTGTTCTCTTCTCCTTCGTGTGACACATTTGTTTGACCCAGGAGCACAATTTGGGAGGTGTCATTGCTCAGCACTATTTGTGGCTTGGTATTAAAAAGATATAAATAAACAGAGACTTTGAAGTGGAACTAACTCAACTTCTTGATATAGAAACCTGAGACAGGTACAGGGCCAAGTAGTTGGAATGGAAGTTTTCCAAAACTGGGAACTGTTTGAGTCCTATCAAATGCAGCCTTAACTAACTGACAGCTCCCAAGGCCAATTCAGGATGGAGTCTGTGCAGAAATAAATGGTGTGAAGCCTGGCACTCCCCAGCTGCCTTGCAGGGCCTGATGAATCAGAAGGGGGCAGAGCAGGAAAAGCATTAGGCCTATTTTCTCCTGTATCATTGGTTTCTATGATTTCAGGGAGACCTTGCCCTCCCTGGTATAAAATTGAAGTAACTCCACAGCTAACTTGCATTTAAGCAGACTAGGAACAATGTAAAACTGTGAGAACAAGTGTGGAAAACTGAGCCAACCTTTTAACTTTACACCGTGCCATCTTCAATCTTTACAAAGCTAAATGCAAGCAATTACAATTCTCCCTTACTTGGTAGAGCTGCATCTATTTATAAAAGAATCTGAGCCTTCCTTCAAAACTGGTATAAGACAAGCAAGATCGCTGGAGCTGAAGGTAGGTATTCAGGATTATTTTTAAAGTTACCTATCCACAGCTTTGATGTACCAACTCATAGTAGCAATAAAATGCCGGTAGCATTAACAGAATTATTCCAACAGGAACATCTTACCCCTTCATCATGACAGAAAAGACATGCCCTCTCTGTAAGCCTATACCAAATATGGTCTTTGTGATATTCTGGGAAGTTTAAATTTGAGCTGGTTTTGTTTTCCAAATAGTGTGCTTATAGTCTTCCAGAGCATTATGTGCAGGTGTCGACGCATGAAAACAGTTTGACTTCTTTAATAAGGAAAAAAAATAATCTGATTCCTGTCCCTGTGTGATTTGGGTGGGCAAGCTAAGAACTGAAACGGCACACACTGAATGATTTCAGACAATTCATCACGCTGCCAATTCAAACTCTAGGTTGTGCATAAAACCAATGGGGGATAGAAATCCAGCAAATACATTTGGCTATAGAGACTCTGAACGGTGGCTGCTCAGCCTAGGGAAGAATACAAGGCTAAGAAAAACAAAACATAACTGAAGCATGAGTTAGGCCTACAAAAGAGGAATGGAGTGCTGGCTTCTCTAAGCAGGCTTGTTATGGCAGTGCAGCTATAGCTTTAAAGACTTAAACAGGTGGGAAAACGAGGGCTATCAGGGAACATAATGCCATACCAAAGGCACTTGGCATGTAAAGAGCTAGGTCACCTTCTTTGCTACCATTGCATGTGCATGCATTTTTTAGTGCTGTCATGAAATAGGAGTGCTGCTGTAGAGAACAGCAAGAACATCCATCTTCCAGGAGAGGAACCATGTTTCCTATGCTTTGAAAGCAGGCCACAAATTAAAATGAAGCAACAGTTGTTGAAGTCTGTGGAGTGGATGGGACAAGATGTGGTCACTGTCCAGGCTTCATCATTAGCTACTGTATCTAGTGGGCCTGCTGAAGGAAAAGGGACATCTTTGTGCTGCCATCTTGGGCTCCTCCAGGCTAGAAATCTCAGAAGCAGCTGGGAGTTGATGGGAGAGTGAACCTGCACTGCTAGTTCTTGGCACCACTGTGCCTGAAGGCAAGCTCTTTTCCCTGTGCACAGCTACACAGCATGTTGAAGTTACTCTGCTGTGCTTCCGCTGAGGCTTCCCAAGTACTTCTTTAGGCATCGGGCTTCAAAAGCATGACAAAACAGAAGAATGCCATTAGCTCTATTTTACAGATAGGAATAATTTGCTCAGGGTCAAACGAAGGGCTTAACCTGGATGTCTGGAACATCTCTTGTTCAGTCATTCCTTCCAGAGGCTGCTGGCGTCTCCCTCATGGCTGCACTCAGATACGTGTCAGTCAGGATGTTCTGCCACCAGTCCCTCTCTCTCCAGGTATGTAGATACCAGAGGTCAGATTATGCCGTCCTTCTCAACTGACTTCAGGAATTGGATTGATAGCCACAGAAAAGCAGAAAAAAGGCCAGTCAGCATCCAAAGGTAGCAGTGACACTGCTTTCCCCCAAGACTGACTGCTAGAAGTAAATTTTGGGGACTACATGAGAATCACCTTCAGGCAAGTGAATAGAGCTTATGAGTTTGTCCATTTGCCACACAGGCACTCAGAAAACCCCCGCGGCTTTCCCTGTCTTCCTCCCACACCTTGTTGCATTTTGAAACAGCAAGGCAAGATGCCAGAAAGCCAGAACAAGGACTGGCTCTCAGGGCAGTGAAAGAAAACACAGTGTCTTGGGGATGATTCCAGGCTGGGGTAAGGTGGCTCACTGTTCTCCAGCTACGTGACACATGACAATGCCATGCCAAAAGTTGGGGCCAATGGCTGAGTCTTGCAGCACACTTTACCATTATCCATCAGAGCAGCTTATGATGACTAGTGTTAATTCTTCGTTCCAGTAAAGTGTTCAGAAATAGCCCTGTTTCTCCCATATTCTCTGGCTCCAGCCTGCCTTTTTCTTTAGAAAAACTGCACAAACTGTTCAGATAACCCTTCTGTCCTTCGTAGAAGGCTCTTTAGGATGGCTAAATGCAGGCAAAGGAATTGCTTCTGTTTGCCTAGCTTCAAAATTAATTTGCCATGTTTACCCAGGGGGTGAATGGCTTTGCTAGTTACCATCTGTAAAGTGAATCCTGGCTGAAAGCTGCAAAGAACTGAGCCTTTCTACCATGCCTGTGCAGGATCGATTGACCTATGTGTAATCAATCAGGTGGCAAGAGGATAGGGCAAAGCACTCCCCAAACTAAGCAAGCAAACGCAATTTACAATGAGAAGAAACAAACTGATCTGTCTAGCCCAGAGATAAAGAAGAATGACAGACTGAATAATGTTTAACTGAGTCTCACAGATCTGGGGAGGAACAGAAATGCCATATTCTCGAAGAATACAGCTGCACTCTTCAACTTCATCTCATCCAAAAGGGCTTTGCTTGATACCCATAAAAAGCATTGTTGTGCAACAGAATTTGGACAGGCAAGCACGATATTGTGACTGTTTTACTACACTAATTGCTAAGGTGGCAGGGGCAAGGTGCCTGTCCTTGCCCTATGCTGTCCCATACGCTATGCAGAGACAAGGACTGGTATCGCTTTCTTCCATTTAGTGCTTCTATCTGCAGCCTCTCCACCTGGCACTGTCCTTCTCTCAACATACTCCACCCCCATGGGCTTGTCTCCAATTTTCCAGAGCACTTGGTGCCCACTTGGAACCTGTGTGACAAAGTCTGGAGGGAGCAGCGGGTGCATGGCCCACAGCTGAGCATGGCATGGTGGCATATGCATGGTGTGCTGCACAACTTTTTCTGGCAATCTTCTGTCAGCGATGAGCATGTCTGTAGCTTGGGCTTGTTGTGGCTTGTTCCACCCCATCTAGAGAATAACACCTAGTTTTGTTTTCTTTCATAACCTAAAGAGAAAAAAATCCATGTACCTATATGTAAATTTCCAGTTTGTGAGAACATATTTGCAACTCTTACCCCCAGTTGGACAGCAAATGATGTTATCCAGCCCACTGAGCCTGTATGTGTGGAGGGCAGGGGCAAATCCTGGTGAAAGATAATGAGGCTGTGATCTGCCTCACATCTGTGAGAAGAGAAATCTAGGCAAGTACTGTCTAAAATGCCTGAAGAGTAGACTTGCTACCTTTTCTCCAGATAATTATTAGAGATAACCGCAGCACTGGTGGGCCTGCACCCTCTCCTGTTAAGAGTTCAGTTCTGTATAGTCAGTGCCCTGGAGCTGTATAGCATGAGGCACAAATACCCTGTTCAGAGCCACTGCTGCCTGTTCTGGATAGGTAATAGCAGGAGACAAGAAATGCTTGAGTCTTAAGCTTTGCTACCAATGCTGGCCTCCCAGGCCTCTGTTGGTCTCTTCCCTGCAGACTCACAAAGATAATAAATCATGTCTGTGGTTCGACACCCTTCATCCTTCCTTCCCCAAAGCAGCCCCTCTCTGGGTGACACAGAACAGGTGAGCAGTGTGAGCAGGGGCACCGAGAGAGTCCTATGAAGGCAGCTTTCTCAGCAAGGCAAAATCTAGGGGGCAAATGGAAGGGGGTTTCTATCTTCTTCCCCCTCCTTTTTTTCAATTAGGGTACAAGGCAGTCCTTCAGCAGTCCCCCCTCCACAGAATCTGATGGCCATCTCTACCCCACTCCTCCCAGCCAGGGGCCTTGGGGCCCTCCAGCAGCCCCAGAGCATTCCCTGCCCTCTCCAGCTGTGTGTGTGGACCAAGGCTGCTTGCCAAGAGCCCCAGAAGGAAAATGGGGGTGGAAATCATGAAATACCTGTCCTGCTCCTTGCACTGTGTCTTCCTCTTGGACAGAAAACATTTGTCTCGAGAAATGCCACACTGTCTCCTTCTGACAGCACTAAATCATCTCAAAAATAAAGTGCTCACTGGCTATTTGAAATGGAGCCTTGTCTCCATCCTTTTGCAGTGAGGGGAGAGAGAAAAGAAGGACAAGTGCAAAGAATGCCTGAGTGCTTTGGGATGAAAATACACAGTTCAGGAATCAGAGCAGTCCTAAGCATTACAAAAATAGCTCATCATTTGGATCCTATGATGATACTGGACATGCATCTACCACTGACTGAGTCAGAGAGATCTCATTTCTTTACAAAGCTGTTGCTCTCATTCTTGGCCATAAAGCCATGTAAATAACATATGGTACAAACAGCGTCACTGAAACCTGACAAAGTTTTGAAATACCTACAAGTTAACTATTAAAACCAAGCCACCTGTCCAGTGACTTCTACTTGAGCTGTTCCAGTTCATCATCCCTATATTATTATAATACGTTGATGGAACATCATAAATCTACGTAGTCAGATAAGACATTCTTCCTGCCCTGAAGAAATTACCCTCTAAAGAAGATGAGCGAACACAAGGCAAAAGCCCTCAAGAGGTAGCATATCTGAGCCTCAGCGGTTGCTTGGAGAAGGAGGACTGAGGGAAACATTTCCAGAGCAGCTTTTGCTTTGTGGTTAGCTGTGTGAACACAGGAGAAAGATGGTGACGTATATTTTATTGTGGTCAGAGAAACAGCTTGGGCCTGTCCCGTGCAAGAGGATTTCTGAGTGTTCTCTGAATAGCCTGGATACCTGTCAACCTAATAACATGACCAATAGCTGCTTAATTGAGACTCTTTTTTTTTTTTTTTTCTGCAGGTTAGTTGTCTACCTATTAACTTCTTGTTGCAATGGAGCCCTTCATACTGCAGGGCCCAAAGATCGTTCCAGGCTCTGGTTCTCTAACTTTTTTTGTTCGTAGAAGTTTAGACACTCTGGCCTGCTCCTCTCCATGCTTCTCTCTGGGAACTGGGCCTGCTTTGTACGAGGCTTTAAAGAAGCCAGCTTTCACTGGGTTCTTCAAAGCAGTCAGCATCAGACCTGGCAGAGCTTTGCTTGGGTGTTCCCTGGCACCCAGTAAGCAGCGAGCTGCTAGGTGGTGAGCAAACTGACTCCTCTCAGAAAACAGCAAACAGGAGGAGGAAAGCAACCCCACCCAAAGGCTGACAGCGACCCTGCTGGAAGTCACAGTCAGGGCCTCACTCTTCCCAGTGCCCTTCTTGCTGCTTCTACTGCAGACTCGCAGCAGGGCTGTTTATGCACCTCATGAAATCGCGTCATTAAGCCCTTCGTTATGTAAGTATCAACAGGCAATGTGAAGTGAAGATATGATGGCACGGCTAAAGCGTCTGCTATGGAGTCAGGACTTCCAGCTGCTACATCAAGCTTTCCCACTGACCTTGGGCAAGGTACTCACCTCCCTCTGACCTGCAAAATCAGGATATTTGGAGAATTAAATAATCTTCAAAAACCATTTTAACATCAGTAGAGAACTGGCTCTGAGGAAGTGTGACCAATTATTAGTTAGAATTAAAATTTATCATAATTTCAATTATATTTTTATATTATGAGGCCAGATATATCATTATAGTATTTATATTTGTATTTTATATTATAATCACATCATACTTTTATTCTAATTTAATAAACGATTGATTTATATAATCCATACAGGTGTAAGATTCTTGCTAGAAATGCTCATGTTTCTGCATAAGGCAGCACGTATTTTGTAATTTGACTGAATATAACACGACTGAACAAGATGTAAGAAACAAATGACAGTTGCAGTGCCAAAGATGTGTTGTGGCTGATTTCTTAATAATGTTCACTTCTTGTTCTTATAGGTCATCAAGAAACTCCTCAAAATCTGGGAACTTGCTTCTTCACCCGACTGGTCTGGCTTGCTCTGTAAATTCAGATCTGCATTGCACAGATCTGCAAAAGAATGCAGGCACCTAGCACAAACATTACATGAGATTTAGACACTGAAGTAAAAACTTTTAACCTGCAACAACCTCATTCTGCTGTCACATCATACTGGAGGCACTAAAGCATCAATGGATGCCAACGTTTAGGTTTTTACATAGAAGTTTCCTAGGTTTCTTCTCTGTACCGCACTTTGAAGGGCTTTATCTGGCAAGTGTTTGCATAGCACATTTAGCAGATCAGCTCCCACACAACCTCTGACAGTTGATTCAAAGCATGAGTGAAGCAGGTGTCACTGCTGTTTTACCTGCAATCCTTTGGTGAAGGGCACAGAACCAGAATGGGGCAGCCTGGGCTGATCCCCACAGGATTCATGTCCACATCTCCTGCCTCTTAACAAGGCACAGTTTACACAAAGCCAGACTGTAAACTTCTCTGGGATTTGGAAAGGATGGAGGAATGCTCCATTCTCATTTCCTCGTGCTGAGCTTTCCCACTGTGTAGAGCATAATAATAAATAATAATAAGAAGAATATGAATAAGGCTGGAGAGGGTAGAAGGCGAGAGCATGCATAACAATTAGGGTCCTGATGTGAGGGTGGAGTGTTCTAAGTCTTCACAAGCAGAGAGGAAACCTGAATTTGGGCCTCCCACAGCCCATGGGCACTGCTAACCATGAGGCTGCTACATAAACCACAGATACCTTTTCCGAAGGAAAGGATGATTCCCTGGTCTATTTTAAAAGTACGGCACTCTGCCCCTTTTTTTTCCCAGCGTTCAGAGCTGTAAATCTCATAATCAGTAGCACTAAACCAATCCCAAATATTTTTTCTCTTTTACCATTTTTCACCAGTTTACAGGGAAATCTTGCATGGCTTCTACCATGGAACAATTCCCCCAATGCTTTACATACACCATGTTCAACTTTTTATTTAGGACTGTGGACGCAGTTAGGCAACCATCCCCACAAAAGTTAGCCTCTGCATTCTGGACTGTGGGTCTTGGGTGTCCTGCCCCTATTCCCCTCAAGGACTAAAAAGTTACAAAAAAGGACATAAAATACCTGCTCCCCACAGCTTCAGTCCAGCTTTCAAGCCTACCTCTTTGCATTCCAAATTGGGTGGGATAACAGACATGTCTTTAGTCTAAGAACAGAAAGAGCTAGCCTTGCACTCAAGTTCAAGGGGTCTTTTAAGGCTGCAGAAAGCCTGACAAAAGAAGGTGAGATGCAAACTGAACAGCAGCGGCATAAATACCCAATGGTTTACCATGTGGGAAGAAAGGAAACCAGACAGGCCTGTCTTTGAGAGATGGGGAGAGCTTTATCCTGTGCTTGTTCTGCCTACATCTCAAGCTATAACAGCGTGCTCATGCAGAAACCCATGCAGTTCTCCGTGCTCAGCACAGTGAGCAAGACGTATTTCACAATTAATGCCAAGCTGACGCAAGCAAAGTGATGTACACAGAAACTTAGAACTGACATCCAAATTCAGTACAGGAGTAGATAAAAGAGCGTCCTTAGAAAAGACATCTGAAACATTATCTCTTTCCAGATGAGGGTAAAGGTGATTCTTCCTTTAGAGAAAATAGTATGGAATTAAGTACAAATAGAACAGTTAAATTGTATGCATTTCTGGAGGTGTCAGTATTGAAATTAAGAAAACTAGGCATTTTTTTGGCAAAACTTTTCAAGACTGGTATCTTACTGCAGCCATGTTTTTGCATCATCTAATACCTCCAGTCTCCATCCCATTCTCAAACATGTGTCATGTTTGGTCTTTCCATTTCAGATATATTGTGTCTACTCACAGCCTGTGTGTGGAGCAATTAAGTCAATAATGTGTCTTCCCCAGGGACTTGTTTTTTTAACCTTTCAAGTTCAAATCTAACCTTTCTAGTACCCACTGGGGCTTGCTTCCAATTGGATAATGTCTGGGTGATGAGTTTTACTGTATTTATTTGTAGCTGTCTGTTCAGTGCCTAGCAGAGACTCCTCATGGCTTACCTGGGAAGCTGAGTGGGGCTTGGGTGGGAAGCACTTTTTAATGAAGGCATATATGTAATATCTGAACAATATTTTGTGTGTGTTCATAAATACCAGTCAAACAACCTTTGGTATGAGCAGCTGGACATAAGGGATATAATCATCCCTCTCTACAGAGCAGGGGAAGTTTGGCACTAGCTGATTGGCAGAAATACCAACAGGCTGCGTAGAGTCAAACCCCTGTACACACTTAAAGCAGACCATTTATCCAGTTTCCTTCTTCACAAACTCACAGCAACCTCAGCTCCTACTAAGTCTGATATAGGTCCTTCATTGTGGATTTCAGTGCTCAAGTCAAGCTACTAGTTAGCTGAAAAGGTTGGCCAAAGCAAACAGTTGACAATGCTGAAATCAAAGCTCGGGGCTGTTTGTTGGTCACTCCTGTAAGCTTTGCTGCAACTAGAGGAAAATTATGAATCCTGTTTAAGAAATGAACTATTTAATCTCCACACCTCATCCAAATATACTTCTGCACTAATGCAGCCATGTGGCAAATGCACCATAAAGAATGTATTGTTATTATTCAGACAGGAAAGTTGCTGACGGAGACGGGTGCTTACCAGAACATGCAGAAAAGCACAGAGCTAGCTGTTACTATCAGCCCCTTGCAGCATCTGTGAGACACCGCATCGCTGGAATCAACCTGTGGGAAACAAGGCACTACTTCTATTTCCAACACGTATACGAACATGCAATTTCCAACGCGTGCGTGAGCAGGATCAACCGCGATTTTACGCCAACGATTTGAGAAATCACACTGGCATCCACGTACAAAGGTTTCTCGGGCATGGAGCACCACGAAATGGAGTTGCTCCCTTCGCTTAGCATTTGCCTGGGGCCTGCTGAGCACCGGGCGGGCTCCTCCGCATCTCTCGTATACACACGAACGGCCCCGGCGGGCTGGCGGGACTGCCTGAGCAGCGACACTCCCCCTCCTCCTCCCCGGGCCCTCTTCAGGCGCGGGGTACGAGCGCTGCCCACCCCCGTCCTCTCCCGCCCGACCAGCCTCTGGCTGACACCCCCGCGGGGCCGGTCCCCACTCGGCACAGGAGCCCCCCCCCGGCCCGCCACTGACAGGAAGGCGG